TGTGAAGTCCGCCAACCCGCACTTGGCCTGCGTGGAGGACTATGGCCTGATGCCCCTCGTATTGAAGGGAGGCCCGTGCCCAGCAGTGGGACGTTAAAAAGGGCTGAATACATTTTTGTTATTAATATAGGACATGAAAAAAAGGCATATTAATGTGACATCATTTATTTAATCTAACACAAGTCATGTAAACATAAAATAAGATAGAGTCAGAGAGGTAAATTAAAACAAGCGACAAATACTGTTCTATAAACGATTGTTTGTCATTCAATCTAGAACTAATGTTAGCTTAACATACAAATAACAATAAAATATAATACCACTGTGGCCAAGTACACACGTCTTTGTGTGGTCTTAGACCAACTAATTTTTAAAATATACTGAGCTATTATTTACCGACACACAAAACTCAGTAGTTTAATCAAATATGTCATTTTAATCTATTACACAGTTTATAACACAGGTTATGACGTAATGGAATGCTTTAAATGTTTAGAAAGCAAGTATTTTCTACCAGCAGTTCTTAACGTCGGTTAGCATTAGCCGGATCATAGTGAAAAGCGGTTAAGCCGATTAGGCTTACAATTTTATTATTTGTCCTCAAAAATGAATACTTTGAATATTTATCTTATTTCAAAGTTGTAAAATTTATAAAACTTAACGTGTACCAAACTACCGCTTCCAACAATGATCACAGCAGTATGGATTAAAATATATCTAATGGACAACATTCTGTTAAATACAACATGGTATAAGACCTTTAAAATGTTATAGTTTATATCTCATCACATGTACATTTATATTACTAAAATGTTCATTTAATGTTAGATACTTAATTCTAAACATCTCACTAGGGAATTCAGGGTTTCTTCTCCATAAATTATAATTAAACTAACACATTCTTGGTTCATTTATACACAATTTTATACGAGTTATGCCAATATAAGATGGAATATACGTAAATAAATTATTGTTTGTTTCATTAGCTATGTAAATAATAAAATGATTGTTAACTAAACATAATATGTTAAAAACAAAAATTAAACTTAAATATCTATATAATAATTAACAACTACTGCCCAATGCGATGTTTTAGTTTAGGTAAGTCTTTAAAGATACCGACTTTAAAATCACTTTGAAAGTAATTATTCTATCTTTAAATGTAAAATTTTTAGATCTTCCTTGAGAATTTAACCTATTTATTAAATAATTATTAAAAAAATAAGAATACAAAATCGTAATCAAAGAAAATATCACGTGACATAATAAAACAATAGAATACCGAATACATAATTAGAGACAATCGTATCCTTTTGGAAATTGATGAAAAATTTTCATAGAGGCCAAGTACTCGTAAACAATATAATATTATAATATAGATAAACATATGTACATAACTATACATACATATGCTAGCTAGTATAATATTATTTAAATAGGTAAGAAGATATTCAACAATTCATTTTACCAATTTTGAGCGTAGTGTTTAAATACAATAATAGACATATTTAAAATACATATCTAATCGAAATCCATCTAATATTGGCATTTAATTAAATAAATAATTTATCATTTTTTATCTCAATACGCATGTAATGTTTCATATTATACATTACTTTCTGTTATAATATCATAACTATTCTATTCATAAGCTGTGCTCTCACAAAAATACTATTTTTAATTTTTATTATTTATTTTAATACAAAGGAATAATGCATCATAAAAATTATATAATTTAATATATTTTAATATTATTATGGGTATATATAATTATTTCAAATAAAAACCACAGTTTTAATAAAACTTTTTGTCGGGAAAATATTTGACAATTACTTACTTTAAATTTGGTCACACAAGTCCATATATAAGTACATAAGCTGTATGATAAAAATTATGTTATTTTTTATGATTAAAATCAAATATTTTGTGTACAAATTGCATTAAAATAATTATCTACAATAATAAATAAAGTATTTAATTCTCGATGACTTTTTCGTATAAAAATTAATGTTACCATTGAAATTTTTTCTAAGAAAAAAAATGTTGACACATTTAATAAATATAATAAGTTGATAGATTTACGACTATCCCTAACTAGATAAGATATTCATATAATCGTTTATAAACGACATTTTCTATTTATTGATAATATTATATAGGTATATAACATGTTTTGTAATAATTACACTTAAAACTTCGAGGGGACGGTTTAAACGTGTTAAATAAAATGCGAAGTTAAAATATTTTCAAATAAGTTTTGATGTTATAGATAATAATAGTTCATAGATACAAATATAGGAAGGTTTATAAGGAACTATGAATTAAGATATTTTATTACTAAATATATATATATATATATATATATATATATATATATATATATATATAATATATATATATCATTTATTTTTCATTATATACTATTTTTGAAAGTATATACTCAGGAAATAATACCTGCGGATTTATTATTATAATAAATATTTAAGGGGTTGACTAGAAAACGCATTTTTCCATGTGAGTTATATTAATGCTGCACAAGGGAAGTTTCAATTTCATAATAGCTAAATATATCTATTACTATGTTTATTTTATGATACCTATTTGGTTTGTTCAAAAATAGGTTTTTAAATTTGTTAATTGAAAATACTGCGATATAGCGACGATTATATATACGTACATATGTTACTTTTTAGTTCTTTTCTCCTCAATAAGCTTATTCTAAACTAGAGTTCTCTTAATTCCTTGTCTACTTATGCGTACGGCATACCGACTGTTAGAGTATTAGGTAAATGGCATCGACTCAAGTTGGAAGTACCGAACGACCATTTTAATCGTAACATTTTTGCAACCAAATGTTAACACTTAGATTTAAGACGAATGGTCCAATTTTATCTAAGGTCAAGTAACATACTCATATACAATCAATCGATATTGGTTTTGCTTATTTCAATATTACTACTATTAAACTTGTACCAAATAATTTGACAAATCGATAAATGGCTGTTCAACGTTCTATTGGATATGAAACCAATTGCTGAGGAAGTGAAGTTTGTGATTCTTAGATATATATATGTTTGACAGCATCAACGCAACCATATTAGTAGAGACTAGTAGAAACACGCTCATTATGAAAACGATGTATACTTTAGAAACTAGTAAACCTGGTTAAGTAAACTATGTAGTATGTAGAATAAAAAAATACGTGCGTGAGTACTTATGTACGCACGTAAGAAGTTATATATAGCGTAATAGAACAAAAATAGCTAAAGATTTCATCCCGTATGCACAACTCTCTGTTTGTAAAAGCTTCGATCAAGCTAACCTTGATCATGTTGCTTTCAGCTAAGTTCATCATGTCGCTTTTTGGCTGTCGGTATGCGCGCGCGTCGTAAAAATTTTACTCTCATATTTTTTCCAAACGTGCCAAAAGAAGCATAACTTCACAAAATAACCATATTTTTTCACCAGTTCAGTATTTTTAGGGCTAATGCTTAAAAATATCCCATTGGGGCCGATTTTCTCAAAGTCTACTTTAATCTTTTTATGTTCTCATATAAAATAACGATTTTTGTCCAAAAAAAATGTAAAGGTAAAAACTAAAGGTATAACAGTTAATGCAAAACCATATTTTTTTTAATTCTATAATTCGGTGGAAAAAAAAATTAACTGGCCAGTTTCTTGTTCGCGTTATTCTCAAGGCATTACAGCTTATACTTTTAGTTGTATTAATTTTAAATACTGTGATAGATTAAACTATCTGTGCTTAGTTGAAAAAAAAAAGTATAATAAATATCTACTACTTTCATTTATAATATCTTAAAACTAATCGTCTTGTAAACCAACAAACTTTTACTTCATTTTAAGTCTCGCTTTTAACACCATCGTCTTCGTATTTAATTTTATAGTATAGGCACTATACTCGTTTACAACTTTGAATATAATAGAAAACATCGACATAACTATATTCACTAAGTATCTACACAATATATAATGATTCATAAATTTTGTGAAGTTTTAAGTACATAATTTATTTTACGAAATTACTTTCTAGTTGATGTATTATTGATAGATATTTCTTAGCGCTCTCCTATTTTAGTCCTAAGAATATAATGTTTTGTAGAAATATGGATTTGTCTATAGACCGTTGAAGCTTTTAATATAAAAAATGATTTAAAAACCGAAATTCAATTCTAGTCTAGTTCGGATATATTCTATCTTCATAAATATGAAAAACTGTAATTTAGTACTTTTATTTAAAAAAAAATATATTTAAAATAATAGCCGAACAAAAAACAGATAGATTTACAGAGCTATCACCTATGTTCGAGGTGATTATATATTAAATATATAATATAATTAATCTATACCTAATTAAGTATACAGTTAAATTCGAATATATAATTTTATTAAGGGGAAAATTATTCACATACTTACATATAAGTACCTACACGCTATCCCAAACATACGGCACTATGTCTGTTATTTGTAAAATGATATGTCGCAATAAGTTTTTGTATATACTTACGCAATAATAAAGGATTGCTCTTAAAAATAAATTCTGAATATGGAAGGACTGTATTATCCGAATAAAATAGGCCATAATAAATATATTATAATGCTCAATTTTTTTTACGTAAAATAGCAAAATAGTAAGGACTGGTAAAAGCGCACAATAATTTTAAACTGAGATAGAATTTCGCTCGTAATAAAAAATACACCTTTAGCATTGCAAAAGCATTCATCATAAGAATATATATGTAACAATGTTTTAATAAATCACATATATTTATATAATCTAATTTTACATACTAATACAATAGAACCGTTTAAATTATAATTTGACACAATAGTAAAATAGCAAAATTAATACTTATATAGAGACGTTGTCGTTCGCAACCGCGACTTCAACTATGTAGTCATTTTAAAATGCAACATTTAACGAAAAAGTTTACACAAAAAAAAATTATTACACAGAAATTCAATTAAAATGAAAGGGTTCAAAGGAAAAGTTGTCTAACGAAGTTAAGAGGCCGGTCGCCGGACGTGATGGGCCGTCGCTCATTACCAAAATCGCTCTGAGGAGATCCGGTACAGGGAGTCATTTGCAAGGGTCGTGAGGATGAAGAGGCACCACATCTTCGGCAAAATGTTCGTCTCACTCCTAAAGGTCGTTTCCACCACCACATACCTTCCACTGAGGCCTCGTAACTCGCTTTATCTGATCGCGAGGAAGTCGCATAGCTGAGGCTGTCGGGGCGGCGCGGGGTGCGGGGCGGGGCGTGAGGCTCCGACCAGGCAGACTCGCTGTCGCAGGGCGTGACGGGGGCGCTACGGGAAGGTTTGGGTTCGTTATACTTGTTGGATTCTTCGGAGAGTGAGCCGCGTCTCTGTAATTAGATAATAGACGATCTGTACATTCAAATTTTTTTGGAAAAGCATATTGAAGTACTAGGTACTTCATATTGAGATATTTTTACCGCGGGAAAATATCTTATCTCTGAGAAATCTATACTAAACGTTAAAACGTAACTAGGGAAGTCGCTAGTATAATATATTCCAAATATTGTCATCGTTACGCGATATTATTTATTTCATGTATTTTTTATATATATTCACTGAGGTCAATAAGAAAATATAAGTATCTTTTTAACTTTAAAATTACGTTAACATAAACGATTAAAATTTATTTAAACTATTAGCTACACAAATAAAAATATATAATTTAAAAAAAATATAGCTTTATGACGCTATTTATAAGATTATAAAACTGACTGATGGTCAATAAGACAAAATCTAAATAATGTTTTGATTGCTTTAGACTTCATTTGTTCTATAAAAAAATCGATTGATTCTATGAAAAAATGTACCTATTACTGTCAATAAATAATCATGAAAAATATTAGTTCTTACTTTCATAACATTGAAGTGTGGTAGCTTAAAGCGTCACACCTCCTGTAGGAACTTGATCGGACAAACGCCTTGTCGATTATCTCCAGAACGGATCATCACCATGCCATCAACCTCATCCCCCACTTGAATTACGATCTGATCGCGAAGTAGCATCAGTCCATTGTCTCCATCAGATACCTAAAATAGGGAAATCTTATTAAAAAAAATCTAAGCTAAGTAAATCGAAAGAAAGACTAGTTATTTTCAAGGGTCATTATTTTTGCTAAAGAATCACTTCCATCAGTAAAAAATGACAATTTCTGTCTAAAAAAGCTATTTTATGTTAGCTGAGCAGAAATAAATTGGTATATTAATTATTAATTAATAGGTATATAATATTATTGTATAACTAATACTAAAACCAGTAGTAGACGAAATGTATTTACAATACAATAGAAGAGCATTGAATTACATATTGTTTACAGAGAAAATTTTAACTAACGTACTGTCAAAAATATGGTAATCTCTTGTAAAATATGTCATCAAAAATTTAAGTATTAAAGTGGCAAATTTATCAAATTGTACCATATATACTTACAAATTAATTAAGGCACTACTGTTCCCTTCATTGCGTGGCGGCTGCCCAGTACCCACCCATATGTTACGTAATTAATTTTCGTAATAATAGAACCATAATTTAGCATTTGATACATAACTATAGTGGATATTGATAAAACTACAACTATAAAGTCGTAGATATCTCATTTTTTAAATAAAAAAGTCACAATAAAAATAATGCAAATGAAATACCTGTAAATTGTGAGTAACTTGCAATGGTCTTTCTCCGGCTTGAAGCTTAGTGCAGTATTTGGAAGGAAAGTATCCTATTTTGCCTAAGCATTTGCCCTTCCACCAGTCTGGATCAGATGTATCGATCACAGTAACTTTGTAGCCGGCCTTCAGGTCTAATTCATCAGCATGCCGCGATTTGAAATTGTAGAGAATCACATAAAGATTGGTCGGAAGTAGACGTTGATGCTTCTGAAATGAAAAATATTTAAACAGTAATAATATAAGTGTATTAAAAACAGGTATGTTTATATAATAAATTAGCGACTCACCCTCGCTTCGCTTGGGTTCGTCCCTAGGTAGTTTTAATTTTTTTGAGCGGAACCCTAATTCTATTTCTAAAATAAAAGTAGCCTATGTTACTCTCTATAACATTAGCTATCTTCCAGTGAAAGTCCCATCAAAATCAGTCCAGCCGTTTCAGAGTTTATCCGGAACAAACTTCTTCTTCTTCTTCTTCTCCTTATCCGGAACAAACAGACATACAAAATTAAAAGAAAATGTGTTTTTCTTTAAAGTACCGTATATAATTTCATATGCATTTAGTAAAACGCTGTTATTTTCATATTACAAACAGACACTTCAATTTTATTTATCTGTATAGATGAGAAGGATTCCTGATGACTTCGGACACAGCGGCCAGTCTCAATGAGACTTGCCATCTGCTGATATTATAGTGCACAAGTATGAGCACAAACACAAGTGCATTCTCTATTTCTGTCACTCCTATACCCCGATGAGACGACTACTCGATACAACCAGTTCCGACGGCTCTATGTGCAATGTGCTTATTGGTAGAAATACCTACTCAATAACTGAATCTCCCGATCTTGAACTCGAACTCAGGACCACATGATCTGCGTCCGTACATACTAGCCAGTAGACCGCCGAGGCAGTTTTTTTTTAAATAACAATATGTAGTTAGCTAAAAACCACATTTTACATAAATCATACAAATTGAGCACTACTTACGAGTTCAGCTCGAACATTATTAGAGTTTATAAGACAAAGTTAGAGCCCTGTTAAATATACTGAATACCCTGAAACACACTGAATATTATCCGTATCCTAATAATGCAACCGCAAATGCCTTTTATAACGTACTAGGTATAGAAAATTGTTGCTCTTGATTTAGTAATAAACATTCGTATCACGCCATTAATTTGGTTACGTCCTTTGTGTCGTTACCGTTTGCTACACACATATTCTGAATAACAATCTAATATCTATAATAAAAAATATACATATGATAAAATTGTAACTGAGCCGAATCTGTACATTAAATATTTTTTGTAAATTCTTATTGAAATAAACATTATTATCGATATAGAGGCCGAATCTATAATTTTTAGAATTATCGTCTCTTTGTCTGTCTGTCTGTTATCGCATCACAGAAAAACCACTGGAGGGATTTCCATGAAATTTGGTATGGTAATAGCGTTATCCGGATGAACATATAGGATACTTTTTACCGCGGGAAAATATCTCATTTCTGAGAAAAAATACAAAAACTGCAATGTAAAAGTATATTAATATGTAAAACCTAAGAAACCTAACCTAAGAAAGAACCTTTGGTTTTTGGTTATCTGAACGCGGGCGGAGCCGCGGGCAATGCTAGTAATATTATAAAGCTGAAGAATCTGCTCGCACGCTGAAGTTTTTATTTTATCTTTTGAACTATACCTAGTACCTATATATAGGTTTTTTTAATTTTATAGTAGGTACACTTAGTATGAAAAGTATAACTATGAAAATGTAAGTTAAAACTATGAAAATGTTTATTGTTTGCCCGCGAATAGCTCTAGCTATAGTAGAATATGTTGATATATATGCGAATATATTAATAGCCGCACAAAATATTTGTTAATGATAGAACTAGTTGGTAGATACAATTGATATTCCAGACAAGCATTTGCAATATTAAACCTAAAATAACCAATAGTACCCATGGGGCGGCTAATGGACCTTGTATGATAATTCCATTAGAATATACCAATACTCAGAATGATTTATAAGTAATTTTTTTCCGACTTCACAAAAGAGGTTGAGCTTCACAAATTGAGCGGTATTTTTTGTATGTTAAGTACCTACGCGATATTTTCGCTTATTGAGAATCAATTTTCAAATGTATTTTTTATGAATAGAACATAAGTTTTACAACTTCTTTCTAGGCTTGTGTCCCATATAAATTGAAACCTAATTTCTTCTATATTTTTACTTCATGAATACTAGCTATTTTATGAATACATACACTGGGCTGCTTCACAGGGGACGGACATGGGCTGGCACTGTTCGAGGAAAGGCTCTTATCCGGCTCGTCTGGCAGTTCCACGCTACTCATACGACCACCTCTAGCACTTAAAAGTCTTCGGCTGTGTACCGGAGACGACGGAGCTGTATATTATTGCATAAGTTAGATTAAAGATTTCGAAGAATTTGTAACTTCATTTTGTAATATATTAGTGATTTTTGTTAGTAGTTTTGTTTCGAAGGACATTGGAAAAAGTAAAATTTGAGGCAAATAATATTTGAGACATTAATTCTATAATTTCAGACACAACTTTTGGTAAAACTTTTATTAACAGTCAAAAAGATTATATTGTGAAGTCTAATAATAATTAAAAACTAGGTATCAGTGAAAGAATTGCTTTGTTTTTTATGACTCAATCCCGTAAAAGGTATATATAACAAGGGCGTACACTGGAAAGAATATTGTTTTAAACTTGATTGAATTGGAGTATAAGATCTCACTTTTATTAGACCCCCACAAAGTCATTCAGTTTTATAGTACGATACGGCAAAAGAAAGTGCTGAATATATTTTATTTGGTAATTTTAAATGTGTTTTCTTTCAATCTTTTTTTTATTGTAGAGACTATCTATAGATTTAAAAGTAAAATAAATGTGAATATTAGTATTTTTATAATAAAATTATACTTGCCTAAATACGATCATAACGATACTTTTCCATACTACAACGATGTAATAACTCATATCTAAGCATTTAACAGCTTTGCTGTTATAATGACGATCGTAAAATATTATTTATTACAACTTTATCTTTTAAATATAAACAATATCAGAATAAATCAATAATCTGTAATGATTTTTTGTATCAGTTTTTATGATATTAACTTGTATAATTATTACTTAAAAGTAATAAAAAGTAATATAGTGGTATTTTCAATCTCAATATTACATTCAACGTAAGACAAGTGAATTTAAGATATAAACGATTTTATCAAAAAAACTTTATTTTAAAGGGTGTTGGTGAAGTTGAATCAAGTTAAATGTATGTGCTAATAGTGAACGTGGAAATGAACGTACATGATTGGGCATATTGGTGAATCATGTGGTTACTTAGTCTATACGAGCCATATCTCATGCTATATGTTCTGTTGTCACCTAAAAAATAAAAGCGTATAATTAACATGCAAAAATAAATTCAAAAAACTTTAAAAGGCGTTGAAAAAGGCAGATAGTACATACATCTTTTGTCTGTTGTGAAGCAGGATCAAAAATATTCAGAACAGTGTTCTTTAACCAAAAAAATAGCCAAAAATTTAAACACCGAAGCGTAAAACTTTCGGTTACCAATTAAATCACGAAGAAAGCACATCACCAGGAAATTTCAGTAGACAATATAGCCACTAGTGATGGGTCGTCGACGTATTTAGCGTGAACGAAACTAGACCGTTCATTTTCTTTCGTCGACTAGTCGATCGACTAGTTCAAATCGTGGACTGTGGTTCACGTACGCTTCAATGTAGTTGTAGATGCTAGACAGTCTATAGTTACTAGTTTACGTTGCGAGACGGACTGTCTTAGTCTATGAATTGAAATAGTTCATAATACGTGAACCGTCGAACCGTCGACGCATCATCGAACGGTTGATTGAACTAGTCCGTTCATTCAACGCCCATCGCTAATAGCCACAAGTATTCACTAACATAAGATAGACAGAAGCTAAGCGAGGGGATATAGTAGAGGTGAATATTTAACATTGCTTGTGGACAAGACATCGATTCATTGACAACACGTTCATTAATACTGATTTGAGTTCAAAAAACCGGATAATTTATTACTTTTACGATTAATTAATATCTTTAGCCGCTTTTACAAGGATATTAGTAATTCAAATAACTTAAAATTATTTGTTAAACAATTAGTAATATTTATGTAAAATACAACAGGTAATTTACTATGAACTGTTTAACTCTTTAAATAATATTTTTTTTAGATTTGCATTTAAGAAAGTACATCATATTTTTCATCTCATTAACTAATAAATAGAATTAGGAAATAGCTGAAACAATGCCAACGGCGTGTTGCCATAAACAATCGCCGCTAGCAGATCATGTTGGACATAAACAACCGTAATAAATTTAAGCTCATTAAATTTATTATATGGAAACTATTTGTGTTCCATTTAATTAATGTTTAGTCTATTCGAGATTTAGTTTGAATACATGATCATGAAAAATTATAGACAAAATATAACTAATATGAATAACATAAAATCCTATAAATCAAGAAATTTTGTCATCGAATATTCCTTTATAAGCCAGCTTGACAAAACTTAAGCTCTCGAAGGATATGAAATATTCAGAAAGTTGAACGTCAAAGTTTCTGGTGTTGCAAAGGCGGCTTCTAGGAGTTGTATGAAATTTAAACATTAAGAAAGTTTTCGGTAAAGACGTCAAATTAAATCTTGGCAATACGGTTTTTTGGGCCCATATGCTGTTTACGTTACTATCGTCGGTCGTACATAGCACTCGGCTGCCCTGCGAGGCTTGGTCCCGAGGGCGACGTCTCAGCTCCCCGCACTCTGGCGAGTCCAGCGACAGGCTCTTCATCCTAAGGTTCAACTTTTGACGTCTCGGCGAATGCGGCGCTATAACAGTCATGCGTTATGAGCATCGGGCACTTACCAGAATTTTCAACTTCATTTACAAACCTATTTCTTATACGCCAGGTGTTTGTGTTAATGAAATGATCTTTTTGTAAGCAAATTGCAATTTTAATGTTATTTAAAAATAAGCTTTAATAAATAAATACATTTTTAAATAAAATACGGAACATTGTGTTTGACTTTTTTTTAAGCAATGATGGGTTAGCACTGGCATTCAGATATGTTATTACAATTACTATGACCTATTCAAAATAACGACGAGTACTTAATTATAATTAAAAAAAAAACCACTCAACCTTAGACTAGTTTACACAAACATTTTAAAATACATACATATTTATATAGAATGCAAAGCTTTGCAAAGAAAGATAAAGTAGTTTTAAAAATATAAAATATCATAAATATAAATCAAGATGCACAAATATGGAGGTCTGAGTGGAGTTTACGTGACGAAACCTACTGATTACTACTAACTGTATTGAATGCTAACAAATGATCTTATGTACATTCAAATGGTGTCTTTATGATATTGATAAGGGCACCTACTTAAAAATTGAAAAAAATAATATTTATAAACTTTTTGCTCGTCACAGCAGCATTGTTTCAATTAAATAATATATTCATACGAATGATAATTAATAAAATGCAACGAATCTCTCAACACAGAAGGCTACTTGGATTCGCTTATGTACAAATTAATTATTGGTACCCGGTAAGGGACTGGTGCGGTCTGCCTGCCTCAACATTTGAGCACTCTTGGAGTTCCTCATCGAACCTGTATGAACAAAATAAATAGTATCTAGTCTATATTTTTAAACACTAACAGATACGTGTCGGTGTCGCCCTGTAAACTCGAAAAGAAAAAAAATAGCAAAGAAGCCAAAATTAAAATAAAATACTTTAACTAAACGCGGATAGCCTAAATTTCAACGTTAATAGTTCCAGTATGTCATGACGTTATTTGTTGCGTGTGATTTGAAAAGTTAGTGTAGTAAACCGTTGTGAACAGTATTTTTATTTACAAGAGTATTTGCTTTCTTGTGCAAGTTAAATTACGGTCAGTTTGTGATTAAGATGTAAAAGATAAATCGCAGTACAAACGCATGCGTCAGCGTGTCAGGCGTCAAGCCATGCACCACTTACAATTTACATACATCCAAGCGCCCGAAGGGTAGAGGCGCTTATAAAATATAAAGTGCTAATTGGTAAGAGGACCAAAAAAATAAGCGACTCAATTCCGACTTTTATTGTAACAGTAACAATACATATCACAGAACGCGGGGCGTTGCGGGGTAACAAATGATTCGCGAGCGGCACACGCGGACGACCTGACGGCCGCGCTCAGACGAGTCAGTACTCTTTTTGATAAGACTGCTATTTGATTATCCAAAATCAAACAGTGATTAACACAAATTATTTCTTGCGAATGCTGGCCTGGGACTTGAGAATTGAAGGCGGGGGATCACCGTTTTCATTTAATAACACTAAAGGCTGTCCGAAAGGGCGTGTCGTCGTCTCTTCTGTTTCTGCAAAGATAACCGGCAAAAAAATAAAATAAAATAAAGATAAATAACAAAAAAAAAACAAAAATAAATTAAAAAATACAGTAAATCAACTAAAATCTAATACAGGATAGATGGAGGTGAGTCGAGTTTGAATGTCCAGGATACACCAAGTGGGAGGACGGAATAAAGCATATATAGCGTCGAGCTTCATCTAGTTGCTTTATTTGTGTACTAACATCGCAACATACAATATAAAATAAAATGAACGTAAACCACACAACGAAACGAGGCTTTTAGCCAGTGAGACGGGACATAGAAAGCTCGATTGAGACAGAGATGTGCTACGGCAGCAGGGCGCGTACTTTCCGGTAGCGAAATGGACCGATGCTGCGGCGAGCGACGCGACTTGGAGCCCCACATGGACAAACTCTTGACGCCGGCGAACAGCCGCCGCCGCACGCCGCCCTCGCCCCGCGCCGCGCCTACCGACAAGCTCACACTGAGCGCGCTCACGCTCACTCCGACCGCACCCCCCGCCCTGCGCCCGCGACTTAAGAAAACGTGCAAATCGACACTACAGAAAACGAGTGATCTGAAGCCGATACGCTACCCACGGGCGGATCTAGAGCATAACTTTAGCTTAGCTATTGATTATATTAATGAATTTAATAAAATAGGGTAAATACCCCATATAAGATACATTGGACATACTAGAATTTTGAATTCATAACGTAGGTATATATTAAAGTTATTTTTGTGCTATATTATATATTTACAGCTATAAATAGAAGTTGGTTAGGTTAGATCCGCCCTTGGTGCGAAACGAGCGGAGAAGCGAGCTCGCCCCTGTGCGGCACCAGACCTGAGCTGGAGGAGACCGGGGGCGCCACCGCCAGGCCGGCACTGGGGCGGGCGGGCGAGCGCGGCGGCGGAGGCTCCTCAGGCGCCGACACGCGCACTACGGGGCCCCCGCGCGATTCCCCGCCACCCGGCTTCGCTATTTCGTTGGCTCGCTTCAGAACTTGATACGTTTGATCCACTTCCTCCTCTGAGCACCGAGCGAAATGTTATTACACGACATATTTACGAAGTATTAGAGTCGACGCACAAAGTGTACTGGTTGTTGTTTGTTAGTAGTGACTCTGTAAATACCTGTCTATCTAGAATGACAGTTTGCAATTTGATTAGTTAAAGGACTAAGGGTCAACAGGGGTCAATCCGCACTATCTTATACCGTACCCTCGTCATAGTAGCTATCGAAATCATCATCGAACTCGACTGATCTCTTGAAAGAGATCTTGGTAAGTCTCTGTCCTGGCAGCCAGCCGTCCTCCACCCCTGGACAATGTGTGTGTTAGTGTCCGATTGTGTTTGAATTAATTACACGTGTTCGTATTGAGAATTAATTGTGTGTACATACACGCAAGCTGGGTAGCAGTGTGATCTCTAAATATTGCTCAAATAAATCTGTTTCCAAAAGCTCCAGCATTGCCATAGGATATAAAAGAGTGCTACTCAGGTTATATCAACGTAATGTTTAATTGTGATATAGATATGTATAATTATAATAATACATAGATTATGTATAGCAACATACATTTCATTATTTAACAATAATTCTCCCATGTATTGTCTGTTTATGTACCTATTCATTTCTTAAGAAGTTGTTGACCACTTACTTACTTGTTACTTACCATCCTTTAAAGGTCAAATGTTAGACATGCTAAGTAATACTTTGGCAAAGATTTATAATTAAATAATTTTATATGTAATATTATATCTGAATAAGTACATGTACTTGAACTCTTTTAAAATATAATTCATACATTAGATTAATGGGTTTACTAAAAACTATACTTAATAGGCGCTTACTTTCTTCGTCGAACGCTGCATCTTGTACTCGGTGGGCTTCAATTTCAGAAGTGCTTTTTTGTCTACGCAGAAGACGAGATTTAGTTTGACACTTGCCGACCTGCGGCATGCAATCCGTATGTATGTTCATCTTACAAATCCTGCATCGTAGTCCTTGTCGGGTGTGCCCTAGCGGAAGAATAAGGTTGACATTATAATCAATTTTGTTTGTACATACAGATAAATATAATTGAAGTGTCTGTTTGTAATGCCAAAACAACAGCTTTTTACTAAATGCATATGAAATTATATACGGAACACAATTTTTTAAATTTTTGGCTGTCTATCTGTCTGTTTGTTTCGGCTAATCTCAGAAACGGCTGGATTGATTTTGACGGAACTTTCATTGACAGATAGCTGATGTTATAAGAAGTAATATAGGCTACTTTTATTTTAGAAAAAGATGTAGCGTTCCGCTCAAAAAAAAACGTACCTGCTATTCAATATACAATATACTACTAGCGACGCACCTGAGCGAAGCGAGAGTAAATCGCTATTAAAAAATATAACTAATTTTAAAAATTGCTATATATTTAAAGTTTTCGAAAAGTTATATTAATTACACTATGTACTACAGTTTATTATTAAAATTTTATTTAAATATACAAAAAAAACTTAAAAAAAAGACTTAAGGGCGATTATAATGCGTAACAATACCTAAGAGTAAGGTAAAGGTACCTAAGTCTGTGTCGCCAATATTATGAAATAATTTTATTTTGTTGAATTCGTTATTGTTTGAAAGAATCCTGTCATTATTGTGCTATAAATATGGGATTTTAAAAAGATGTACGTAACTCTACTATCGTTGAAGAATTAAAATCTAAACAATATATTATTAAAAATTAATATTTTGGTTCTATGATATGACGATGAAACTTATCATTTCAATACAATTTGTTAATTTTTATTATTTAACATAATAATTTTGTAGAATGGCATCTTGTCTAAGTCCCAAGATTTTATATTTATGTTGTATGCTTGAAATTTGCTTGATGTCATTTTTTCTTTCTTGTTAATTAATTATTAATTAATTCCAGTAGTACAGCGTCAGCTTCTTGATTAATGTTCTGACGGCAATTAAATTTTGCCTTGATGGTAAAACAACGTTTTCTTTAACAATTTGAAACTTTTAGTAATGTTTGGCGCGCCCTAGTTTCACTTTTGATATTCAGGTTGTAACCGAGCTTGTCACCATCGTTTTAAATCTATACATATAATAAAATTGTAACTAAGTCGAATCTGTAATTAAATATTTTTTGGAAAATCTAATTAAAATAGACATTATTGTCGATACAGAGTCCGAATCTATAGTTTTTATAATTTTTGTCTGTCTGTCTGTCTGTTGCCGCATCACAAGAAAACCACTGGACAGATAAAGAAATTTGGTATGATGGTAGCTGGTTACCCTGGTACTTATATATTGTTATATTGTGATCTAACAAAGTTAGTATAAAACAATTAACAACATTAACAAAAAATTACAATATTTTCAATGTTATAAATAAATTAATTTATCTCTACACCTTTATTAGAAGCTTTCACGTAAATCATAATTTAATACGCGGTTAACCTCTAATTTGCTGAAACCGCAAGTACTTCAAATCATTTCTAATCTATAGTCACGTAATTATGATGATGTTCTCCTAGCCGATTCCGGCCACGGCGGCCAATCTCAATGAGATTAGCCAACTGCGCAGGAGATATTATAGTGCTCAAGTGTACGCGCAGACACAACGTGCACTATCTATTCCTATCACTCTCATACTCCGGTGGGACGACCACTCGACACGACCGGTGAGAGTTAAGGCGCAAGACCGATGGCTTTACGTGCTCTCCGAGGCACGGGGGTGAAACACCGCCAACTTCCCAACTCCGGGCTGTTACTGAGACTTACTATACAGGAAGACTCAATAACTAAACTTGGCCCGACCTGGGACTCGAACCCAGGACCTCCGGGTGTGCAGCCGTACATGCTAGCGTAATTATAGCCATCATATAAGTTATATTTATGACCTAGTTCGAAGGGCTATGTTCGTTTATGTATTTGTATGTTTGTTCTCAGATTTCTCGGGAACGGCTTGGCTCAATTAAATTGGATTCTTTTAACGTAGGTCGCATAGCTGTAGTCCCATGTAATTTTATTACACGTGGAAAAATTATATGAGGATATTTTCAAGAATATGATAAAACACCATAAACTTATAGGCACAAACACAAATCTATTATATCGATTTTAATCTTTTTAATTGTATTGTTTTGAAATTTTGCAAGAATTGTGTTTTGAGATAACGGTATATTGAGTTCAATGGTACCGAAATGTACTGTCTGATCAGCTTATCTGACGTCTAGGACTTGTGTAGTGTAATTATTAAAAGGCTACTAGAAAACCCTTCGAATTTGGGCCAATACAAGACCAATTGAAATGAACAATCTATTTAGGATTGTTTACTTTAAATATAATTAAAATATTAAATTTAAAGTCACTTTGTTCGGTTTTTTTAATAAATAAATAGGATTTAAGAAATATATATGCTATAAAAATTTAGTTCAAATATAAAAATGCTGTTTATTTTATAAAAGTAAAGTTTTTTAATGTATTTTATTTTCCATCTATTTTGTTTTATTTTATAATTAATAAGAAGTATCAACATTTCGTACTACCCGTGTAAGGGAACGCGAATGGTTGGTTTGTATTTTAAATTAGCCCTTTTTCCTCGTGTACCAGGCAGAGGCGGACCAGTTGTACGACAATAAATACATATTTTTGGGACATTGACACACAGCACCATCTAGTGCCATGGTAAGCTACGAGGCTTGTGTTATGGATACCAGATAGTTAATACACTACGCATATATAATTTTAAATACATACATATTATAAATATAAACACCCATGACTGCAGTACAAACATTCGTGTTCATCACACAAATGAATGCCCCCAGCGGGACTTGAACCCGTGACCGCTGGCACAGCAAGTAGGGTCACTACAAACTGAGCCACACGCGTCGTTGACAATGACATTAAACACTATGAAATTAAAATTTGATGTCACGTTTTCCTTGCTGATTTTGATAAAAGTCTGAATATACATAATTTTAGATGAATGAACACTATCATTATATTATTATGTGTATTTATTCTTTGGGTTTAGTTTACTTTTATACCTGCCCTATCTATTTCTCGTAATACGCTATATAAGCCGCGGACAATGACTCGTGCCATATTAATAAATAAAATAAAAAACCCTTTCATTTACTGCTTACAATCGTTCATAGTAATTTTTAGGAAATACAAATATTATATACTTATAGCGATTCACCGTCCCTGGGTGATTCTTTAAATTGACATAACTTTTTTATATATGAATCGATTGAAATTTGAAATAAAACAAATACTAAATGTTAAGTGAAGCTTACCACAATTATTATTATTACATTAGTAAAAACCGCACGCAAATCGATTAAGCCGTTTCTGAGATTAGCGCGCACAAAGGAACAGACAAAAATTCTAAAAGTCATTGTTTTGGGTTCTATTGCGTTAATAAATACCCCCAACTCTTCTATAATTATATATTCTTCTCAAATACCTTCCGTGTACAGACAGTGCAGTGATCAGGTAAATACATCTTTATAACCTCAGTACTTATTTCATTTCTGTTTAATTCTTCAGTCCACAAATATTTTGTTTTACTCTGTTTTATTCATTTAACCATTAAAAATTTACATTATAGTTTGTGTGCATTGAATGCACAAAACAAAGACTATTTACAATGTCATACATATAGTTTACTTGATCTAATTCTGTTTCATATTTTTTGTTATTTTATATTAAGAAAATACAAAGCAGAAAAGGTTTATGATATCTGAATTGTCAAAGAATGATAGCTGTCATATTTCCGTGGAATTAAAAATCAGATTTTAGTACGTATATAAGCTAACCTATAGGTTAATTTGACATTCTTATTTTCGCGTTGTAATAAAAAAGAAAATATATACCAAATAATTCCTCGAACATAAATTAATTTAAGCTATTAAAACTTTATTTCGAATTTAACCGCACGCTAAGAGAAAACTTTAGTTGCCGAAATCTGTAATAGTATCTAATACTGGCTTACTCTATAATACTGGCTTAGTATAGAGTACTTAATGTTTTGACTAAAAGTTGCATATCTAAATGGACTTACCTCTAAGAACTTGAGAGCAAACGTCGCAGGGAGTAATTTTCTTGTAGGTGTATTCTTGAAAATTATGCGCGTCTGATTCACCGCCTGAGCGCATCTCACGAGCGGCGCCGTTCCTCCTAGAGAAGATTAGATGTTTAGATAAAACCTTTGATGTATGCAATTTTTTGCAAATACGTAATAACATAAGATTTTTTTTCTAAGCTTAAAGCTAATTTTAGTTTGTTTTAGTAAGTACCAATAAGTAAATTACTACTAAGTAAAAAATTTCTTCCAATTATTTCTCTCATGAACTTCCTAATCCATGTCTATTTGAATTTCTTAGACTCTAAAGAGATTTTTGCTATTTTTAACATTTTTATATTTTCAAACACTTTGTCTAACGATTCAATACGTCATACGTATTGATCTATGAACAAGGCCAAGTACGTGGTTCATTTTCATTCAGCGGTGGGTGAACCGGTCACCTTCCCAACCTAGAGCTTTGTTAAAGTTATTATTAAAATTATTTGTACATCAACACGAAGACTGATTTATTTATTGATATATAAATAAAGTATTTTCCTAAATCACATATTACATAACATTTAGTAGATAAATATCAAGAAATGCTTATTTTTATGCCATTATTACATAATAAAATATTCAAGAATTAAACAATTGTGTAAATACAATTAATTTAAAGATAGGGATTTATTCAAATGGGTTTTCCATACTTCATTTATAAAGCATGCTCTTAATGTTTAATATATGATTTAGCTGAAGGCGAAGCTTATACAGAAACAGAAGCAAACAATAGGAAATGGGATAGCGACTTAAAGCATTGGAATACACAGTGTAGAGAATTACTGAAATAAAATCTAGCTATTTCCCGCGGTTTCGTTAATCTAATATCTACAGCTTAGCATTAATATATTGGATTTCTAGCGTAATACAAGTTTTTTATGTCTACTAAGAAAATATGTGCCTTTGTTTAATTCTTCATTCCTTTACTATACACACGTCTTCACATAACATTTGTGATTTGTAGGCCAAGAGAACGATGTTATTTGTCCTTACTCTTCTTTCTCTGTCTTTTATTCACAAAAATAGCCTGAACATATGAAATGTCTTCTGACCCATAATCAAAACCCACATCCATTGCACCACCACCTTAGAATTGGGCGCAGATACAACATAAAATATTTTCTACATTTGGTTTACAGACAAGTGATTTAGAGTAAAAGGTGCACTATTATAAATTAATATACAAGCACGACCGTTAAAAGGCATTGTAATACAGATAGTATAGATGTAGGGTAACAGTATCAGGTCACAGAAGGTTTATGCCTACGGGGAAAGATTACCTCATTGCCATAACCGTAGACACCGCGTGGTACATTTGATTTTTTCTTACGATGCAAGAAGAGAGAAACATCAAAATGAACATGAAAAGTGTGGTAAAGTATCTCAACATTTAAAATGCAATAAAATCTGTGATTTTTGGGTCAATCTATTTTTTAATTAGTTTTGAATCAAAAAGGAGCTAGTAAACGATAGTGCTATTTATTGTGTCATATCACAAGTTCTTTTATAAAAAATGATGTATGATTTGTAATGAACATGCAAACAAATCGTTCAATAGTTCTTAATGAAAGAATTCGTAATCGAAAATTATTTTTACTACCACAGATATGGTTTAGTCGTAAGCTGTTCATTAGCGAGTTTAGAATACAAAATTTTGTTTAGATTGTTATACTTGTAACTTTTCGTATGAATTTAGAACAACTTATGAACAAAACGAGATTAATAAAGGCTTACTTACACGCAATAAAATGGCGACAAATTAATTAAAATATTTAAATTAAATGATAAAATAATCTATACATATAATAAAATTCTGAGTCAAATCTGTACATTAAATATTTTTTGGAAAATCTTAGTGAAATACACATTATTATCGCTAACAGAGGCCGAACCTATAGTTTTAAGAAATTTTGTAGTTTGTCTGTGACCGCATCACAGAAAAATCACTGGAGGGATTTTGAAGAAATTTGTTATGGTAATAACTGGTCATCCGGATTGACTAATATACTAATACGAGAATACTAATATGTAAAACCTAAGAATTTGGTTTTGGTCATATGAACACGGGCGGAGCCGCGGGCAATGCTAGTATATTATATATTTTCATATTTATTAAACTGGAGATTATATTAAAGTTAGATTGAAATTAAGAAAAGCGAAAACACTCGGTATTTTGCCCGAGCTTTATTTACAATACAATAATTGCTCCGCTTCTATGGGACCGGACGTAGCGTGGTATTAGACATGCAAAAAATATTTTGATAATCTGTCTTGAAGTTTCAGAAAATGCGTTAAAATAACAATATTTTTAACCTTGTAATATAAGTATGTAATATATAGATATCGATTTATTATATTTACATTGTATTTTTTACAACTGAATGAAGTCGCTTGCGCCACTTCTTATTATATGCGACTCGTTATCGTTCAGAAAAGTATATTTGCCTAAGGTTATATTTACCTAGTGATCGTCAAGTCTTCAATATTTTGAACAGTATATTTCCACGAGATATAAAACTTGTTTATAAAGAAAATTGTTTTCGTTTTGCAATAATTGGACCTTGACCTTAGATCGTCAAGCTCAACGTTACTTTTTACGCTTAATCTATCAAGAGAACGATGTTTACTTCTACATTCTACCCAAAAATCATAACACATTTTGAAATACATAAATATACATTAATTACTTTTTATAGCTTGATAATTTCAAAAAGTATAATGGACTAAGATCCCACTGCAAGATTGCTACGTTCATTGCGTATTTAATCGAAATCATTTTTTTATATACAATAATAAAAGGGACAATATGTTTTGACCGCGGTGCCTATTCAAATGTGCCCGCTAGTATGTTTAACTAAATAATAGTTGACTTTTTGAAATAAAAACGATGCTATTGTTATTACAATGAATTATACTGCACTTCACAGAACTATACGTAGAGATCTTGAAAAATGATAGCTGCCGTTGCGCATTTGGCCGCAACCTCTTCGCAGCCAGGTGTAAGCGGGTCATATTTTGGTATGTTTATGCGTTCATAGTGTATATGCATCATTTATATATCAAATTAAAGCTATTTTTTTTCTGTACCTGATAAACTACGTCTGCCTATGTAAAAGTGGCCCCAAAGGAAAGAAAAGAAGATGGCAAAGATAGATTAAAGTGAAAGAGAGTTGGCCATGGTAACCGTTGTTATTGTCTGACAAATGACATATAATATTATATTCTTTCCTTCTTTTCTTTAATTTGATATATATATATATGATGAATATACGCCATGAACGTATAAATATAACAAAAACATTTTTAATGACTCGCAACCACTTTTGCGGCTAATTTTACATAGGCAGACGTAGTTTATCAGGTACAGAAAAAAATTAGCTTTAATTTGATATATAAATGATGAACATAAGCGGTGAACGTATAAACGTCCCAAAATATGACCCGCTTTCACCTGACTGCGAAGAGGTTGCGGCCAAATGCGCAACGGCAGCTATCATTTTTCAAGATCTCTACGTATAGTTCTGTGAAGTGGAGTATAATTCATTGTAATAACAAATGCATCGTTTTTATTCCAAAAAGTTAACTATTATTTAGTTAATTAAACATACTAGTGGGCACATTTGGATAGACACCCCGGTCAAAACATATTGTCCCTTTTATTATTGTATATGAAAAATTGATTTTGATTAAATACGCTATGAACGTAGTAATCTTGCAGTGGGATCTCTGGTAATAAGAAGCCTATTATTAAAAAATCAAATGGCAAAAATACAAAAAGCAATCTATGTAAATTAATCACATTTATTATAAGCGATTTGAAACCTTATAACAAAAAGCGAATCGACGGTAAGTGCGGCTACTGGCCTTTTTAATCTCATTTGCGTGACACATAATAATTGTTTCATGTAAAATTATCTAATTAATTTATCGGATTACTCCTATTTATTTATTGATTTTTAATAAAGTGGTAGATTGACGACACGTTTGGCTCAGTTTGTGGTAACCCTACTTGCTGTGCCAGCGGTGGCGGGTTCGAGTCCCGCTGGGGGCATTCATTTGTGTTTTGAGCACGAATGTTTGTACTCTAATCATGGGTGTTTATATTTATAATATGTATGTATTTAAAGTTATACATGTGTAGTATATCAACTATCTAGTATCCATAACACAGGCCTCGTAGCTTACCATGGAACTAGATGGTGTTGTGTGTTAAGGTCCCAACATATTTATTTATTATTTATTTATACATGCGTCAAATATCGTAAATGATTGTTTTAAATGTACCAATTGTGAAACTTTTCACATCAAAATCTCACTATCAAAAGAGCTCTACGAAAGCAACTATGTTTAAAGCAATTAAAGATAAGTAACTCTTCTCAAGTTATATACATATAGAGTGCTTTGTGGCAACATATAAATTTCTATTACACATTACCAATTTATGTAGGTGCTATTAAATGTTTTAGAACATATTTTCCCTAGCTTTTGTCTTAGGTAACGCTTATGAGGTGCGTGGTTCGTCAAATATTCTATGCGTTAAGTCAACTTATTTATTAGCTCTTCCTATTTTTGATTTTATTTACCTGTTGTGTGATTTTATAACCTGCTTAGCTGTTACAGCGTGAAGAAACAATAAACACTAACTAAATGCACACAAGATTTAAATATTTATAACATTAGTGAGACTAGAGACTTGTCCACTCGCTTGGACCTCGTCCCAAAAATATTATATAGATACAAGAATAACCAAAGAAACATACTCAAATAAGGGTTAAAACAACCTTATAATAATTGTCTTAATTTTTGTTTATTACAAAAACCAAAATTTGTATGTTTGTTGCTCCCCTACGCTGAAACGGCTGAAAGAATTTGGAGGAAATTTTCGAATATCTGATAGACAGTAGCCTGGAGTAACACGTAACAGGCTAATGCAACGATAAGTCGCAAGTATTATATAAAACATGAAAATCCTTCCAGTACTGTCTATATCTATATACTACGCAGTATATGATGTACATAGAACCAATATTGTTTTGTGTTACAAACAACAATCAACCTGGTTCAATTTAGGTCTACATGATATCGGCTACACGAAATATTGTTTTAGTTTCATTGAATTTTGATTTCGGATTTATTTCTACCAAATATTGCAAGTTTTAAGAATAATTAAAAAAGTCGTTAGAGACTGGTGTGACAGCCACACTGTACTAAACTACACAAATTATAATAAATAGGTCATTTTGAATGTAACTTTTTTAACTTAGCTTAAATAAAAATTCTTGAAATATATACAAAAATAAAATTAGCTTTCTCTGTTCATATTAATAATCATAGGTTATGTAGAGCTCTCATATTATTCATGTCGGCTTACACTGTCACTTTCTTTGGCGGGCTACTCGAAGAAAGATTGCAAACTTATTGGATTACGTCCCTTACCCTTTCACTTTGTTTCATGTAAAACATCTGGTGTTGCCAGCTTTTATGTAATAATTTCATAATTTGCCTAATTCTTTTTTTATTTATAACAGTATGAGCTCAATAAGGAGATTTAGAGTTTATAAAGAACTTTATTTTAGAATTTCTTCGATAAACTTTAAATACTCTTCGATCAATTTCTCAAGTTATGAGATTGATGAAAAAACTACAAATGAATAGAAGTAGATACAGCGAGCTCTTCAACATCAATAAATGCCGAGTGGAAGTCCGCTAGCAGGATGCAATCAACTTCCTCGTTGCAACTGGGAAGTGTCTTGTTATCATATTTTGAAAACAGCGATTGGTTTGAATCTTTATTTACAATAAAAAAGTATAAACTAAGTTTATTTAAAAAAAAAGGGATTCACTACCTACATTTATAATTGACATAAATATTAATTTGTCACCATTTTATACTAACACCAACATGAAATGGAATAAAAAACTATATTAAACCTTTATAACTAGTAATTAGAAAATTTTACTGTTTTGCCAAATTTAATTAAAATTATTAAGAATAAATATATTTGAATAGAAGACGTCTTACTTGTCCGGTGGTGCTGCATGTGGGGGTGGTGCACTGGGGGGTTTAAGACTACGGAAGGCTTTCAACCACTTATTCTTCATGCTGCCAGCAGATGATGAAGATAACTTCCGGTCAGCAGCGGTTGCGCTACTGTCAGCCTTCGCTGCAAACAGCTCTCTCTGCAAACAAGAGAGTCATTAAAAACTAGCAGTGATCGGGAAGAGTGCCAAGTCTTTAAAAAATATTTCGTTATCGACATAACAATCTTTAGCTCGGTTTTTGATTTAGTGCTGCATATTTATAATTGGTTTATTGATTAATACATTGGCGAATATTGCATATTATATAACCAAGCAATTTCTATTATATGAAAAGAAGTAGGTATTTTACTGGCTATTTTATGGTTATAATACCTTTTATATTGTATTTATTATTTAGTTTATTGAAAATAATTTATTTTCAGTGAGCACGTTGTTGCATAGGGATCCTGTTATAATAATAACAACGTTGCTATAAACGTGAGTACTGAAAGGCCAAGTGAAACCTTAAAAACTGTCTAAGCCATCATACAAAATATAAACCTCTAGAATAAAAGAAAGAAATAAGAAATTTTAACTAATACTTTCTTAGATTTACGCGAATATTTGAGATCCATACTAATATTATATTTTTTTATTCATTTGGTAATTTGAGTCTGTCTGTAACAATTATATAATACCTTTGAGACATCTAACACCTCAGTCTCTACCGTGACTATGATTGCTGTAAAGCATTCGAAACGTCAGGAACCAAAAATAAAAATAAATTCGCGAAAAAATCCGAAAGGATAGTTTTATTTAAAATGTCAACTAATTGATTTTTTCATACTTAACTAGCGACTCACCCTCGCTTCGCTTCGAATTCATCCCTAGACAAAAACCCACGGGAACTGTACATTTTTTCGGGATAATTTATAACATTAGGCAAAATAGCCTATAGCATTCCTCAATAAACGGGCTATCTAATGCAAAAAGAAAATTTTCAAATCGGATTTACTTAGTTCCTGAGATTATCGCGTTCAAGCGAGCAAACTCTGCTTCTATAATATTAATATAGATAACTTATTTTTACACATAAATATAGTTAATGTTCTAAACCTGAATAGACAATATTTTTTGTACACGCTAATCTTAGGAACTACCAGTCCGATTCAAAAATTACCATCAAGCATGCTGGCTTGTTGGCATCAAGCATGGCTATGTTATTCTGCTAAATCCATTTCATTTCAATTTTTAATCATATCTATATATGGATATATGTAGAGGTATGTAACTAGAATTACGAAGTAAATATGCTAGTTGACTCTAAAATGTCAAATATTCGCGTAAATCTAAGAAAGTAAATATTAAATGCTACTTGTTAACCTTAGAATGTTACTTGGATAGCGAAATCTCTAGCAACCATTTGTCCGTCTGAATATTCACAAAACAATTTGTCAAGAAACAAAAAAGGGTGTACGTCACAGATTGAAATTTATACAATAATTTCAATGCTACTCGTATATATGTATGAGAGTATTTTTAGGAAAAAAACTGTTGTTTATTTTCTTCTTCACTAAATCCTCTGCGCTTTTGTAAAAGTATAGGATAAATATTCAAACCTATTCAGTCAATGTCGGTTTTAACTCAGCCAAAAATTCTTATTTCCAAAAGATCATAGGTACACAATATAGACACGGTAATGTTGCATAGCATTACCGTGATATACATATAAATTAGTTATTGTGAACAACAGTTATACTTTAAACAAAACATTAAATTTCAGTCAAATATGTGAAAACCATACATTTTATTTAATTAAATAATTTAAGTAATTAATAGTGATAAATGATCACATACATGAATGATGTAAAATCCCATGCGTAAATTTAAAGTTATCAAATATTGTTAATTGTTAATTTATTGATTTGATCGATTGAGTTATGTTAAATTTAAAAGCAATGTCACGACTAACTTTATTATAGTAAGTCTAAAAGCTTTTACAAGAATCTAAAGTAAAATGTGCAAGTTTAAGACGTTTGAGACATCCACTTGTCACGTCTAATAGGTATCGATCGACTTAGCGTTTATTGAATGTTGAAATGTTAATTTGCAACATGACAACATGAACAACAATTTCTGAAGTTAAAGAGCCAAAAATTATTAAAAGTTATTTATCAAATTATCAACAGATATTGTTATTATTTTAAATGTAATAACTCAAATAGAGTACAGGTACAGACACTATAATTTTTTTTTTGTTAATTTCAAAGAGGTCATGATGCAAGCTATTTCCAATCTGAATTTCACTTAAGCCCGTTGAGTCGTTCAAAATACACAAATCCTCGTTGAAAAGGCTGACAGGTGCTAGTTTTAAAGTACATAAGGTAGTAGAAAGCACCAGTGAAGAACAAAGAATAACCTTTTTCAGTCTAAGCCCATAAACTGTAAGATGCAAATCAAGTCATTTACATGCCTTTTATTTCGCAAGGCCTCAAACTTTTTGGCTTCAGATTTTCATGCAGCAAGTTTAGATAAACAAATTTCATTTTAGCTCGGAAAAATAAAATAATAGGTTATACCTTCCTTATATTTAATATCTTCTAGGATAAGAATTTTATCCTCTAGATAAACATACACTCCGTATGTTCCAAAAAATATTATTTAATTCAATAAGGAATGCAAAAATGTTTTGCGTATTCCCTGTTGGTAAAGGGCCAAATGCAAGTGCGTATGGAATGATTTTTGATAAAACTTCCTATGTAATGTTAAAATAATTCATGAACAGAATAAATTTATTGAATGAAAATGTAAAGGTATTGGGCATTATCAGAATAGGTTTGTTTCATTTACAACACAACAAAAGAGAAAACTTTATATTATGTTTCAAAGACACAGAATGGAATGATATTCATAAGTATGTTTATTTCTTTTTAAGTTAAGTTTGTTCTGACCTTCTACGCGATGCACCGTACAGGGTTTTCTCTTTTATCATATTAAAAATGGCAGACTCAGATAAATATTTTTCTTATCAACTTCTTTGTGTCATTGAGAAAAGAAATAAACACTCATGAGTTTTTTTCTCTTCTACTATAGCCGATTTTCGGACACAGAAACAAATATCGTCACCATCGTCATTCGTGGAAGATAATATTATAGTGCACAAGTATGTTTACAAGCATAGCTGTACTTTATCCCTTACACAAATATAATAGGACACTAACCTGACAGAAGAGAAGTCAGGTGCAGAACCATTTTTTTTACTTAACAACAGAAGGATTTTTTTATCTTCAGACTGTTATTGAGAACTTCTTGATAAATGTATAAAACCCCACAAATATTTTTGTCCGATTTGAGATTGAAAATCAAGATTATTTGATTACCAACCGTAAAACCTGCATTTGACCAGCATGGAGGACTATGGCCTGATCCCCCTTATAGTAAAGGGAGGCCCGTTCCCAGCAGTGGGACGTTAAAAAGGGCTGAATACATACATATGTACATGGATACATTGTCGGCGACGGAAAACTTATCTTCGAGTAACGTGTGTATTAATATAGGGACAATGTCATTTTAGCGTATTATGAATAATTGTTGTAAATATGAAATCTCATTCTTATTAGATTTATTATGTTAAAATAAGTTCTAATTAGTGTAATAAGGTTAGTTTAGAGTATTTTTTGCTTATTTGAATCATATAAGACTATTTAACATTAATTTGAAAGGAATAGGTACGTAAGTAAAATGTTAGCATATAATTACGTAACTTGAAAATGAGATTTTTTGTTTCTTGCAATAGCATAATAGTTTATGTTTTAAATAATAGATTTTATTATAAAACTTATAATAAAACAAGAATTAGGTCGATAGGACTATCCGTTCAAAAGTTATAAGGGAAAATGTATAGTAAAAATGTAGCAACCTAGAAATTTAGATATTTTTGTTTTAAGACTTTTTTAATTAATTATTATATATTGAATATTATGTTTTAATATTGTATAATAGTATGTAAGGCATGTAAATAAATAAATATGTGTAAGGTGTTTTACTGAAAACATAAAATAAAAGGACTCTCAAGGTTTCGGTTTAGGGAAATTTTATTCGAAAAATGAGCTCAAAGTACGCGGCTCTCTGTAAGGTATTAACGGGCCAAATAAAAGGCGAGCCATTTCTCGATTCGAGTCAGTCGCAAGACAGCCACCGAAGAGGCAACAACTAAAAGGAAGAACCGAAACCAAGAGAGAAAAAAGGAAAAAATTGTGTTTTTATTTCATCGCCTCTAAGTATAGTCTCCTGTCAACGAAGAAACCCTAGTGGATCGGGACCCAAGCTACGCATTCAGGGTGCGTGGTGGCGTACATTACCAGCGAACGGACATACTGCCGTGTACGCCAAGAACGTCTGGGAGATTGTCCCAGGTCGACCTCCGGGTACTAGACATACCCTGGTTCTGGTCGTCCGAAACAGTTGGTCCTTCGAGCCGGATCCCTGCTAGAAGAAGTTCAGAAGAAACAGAAGATTGCGTTCAAGATGCCGGTAACCAGGTCGCAGAAGGATGCCCCCTCACGTCCCGGGTCCCGTCCTTCAGATAGGGACGCGACAGATGGAACGTCGGGATCAGAAGGGGTCACGTCAGCGTCGGCGTCATCGGGAACTGCAACTACATCGAACACTTCTTCGGGTACCACGACCACGGAGGGCACCACAGTGACGGAGACTACGGTTACGACTGCAACTACGGCGGCGTCTATGGAAGGCAACAAAGAAGATGCTGCACAGAGGATGACCAGGAAGAGCCAAGAAGATGTACCTGGAAAGGATGTTCAAGGCTCCTCCAAGACCCTGAAACCGATGGGGGTCAGTCGTCGCGCCAGGTCCACGAAGACCACGAGTTCCTCGGCCAGAAGACGCGAGCTAGAAGCAAAGGAAGAGTTGGCACGCCTGGAGTTGAAGCAAGCACAGGCTGAAACTAAGCTAGCCCGTGTCAGATTGGAGATGGCACAGTGTGAAGAAGAGGACTCCGTGGATGAAGACCTGGAAGACAGAACAGCACAGGTGCAGAACTGGATCGAGACGTCTGTGCTGGAGGATGGCAACAAAGTTCAACCAGAGATGCGAGGTCCACACCCCTTGGAAGAGCCACAGAAGATGAAGCCTGAAGA